CGGGGGGCGGGGAGGCGGCGGGGCCCAGCCCGAGGCAGGATCGGCCCCGTCCAAGGCAAACCCCGCGCGCGACCTCGGAGCCGCACGGCAGCGTCAACCCCGACAGCCCCGGGCATCGCCCCCGCCCCCGCGCCCGGGATACGGGGGGCCGCGGCCGTCAACGTCCTGCTGCCGCCGGGGGGTTGTGGGCCCCGGGGAGAGCCCAGGCCCGGGCCGTGCCCCCCTGCAAAGGGAGGGGAACCCCCCCAGGCCAGGTAACGCTGAGCAGGGGGCAAATCCCTGCCTGCCCCTCCAATGCAGCGTGACTAGGGGGCAGGAGCCTGTGGCCAGGACCCTGCGGGGCAGAGCCCCGGGGGCAGGAGCACTGGCACAGCCGGGCACAGCCCCCGCCTGGGCTGCAGCAGCACGCAGCGCCTCTGCGGGGGCTTCCTAGATATCATAGACTCACAGATCTCCCGGGTCGGAAGGGACCTGGTGGATCATCGGGTCCGACCCCTGCTCCAGGCAGGAAAGAGCGCTGAGGTTAGGTAACCCCAGCCCCATGCCACTCTCATCTCCTTTTGAAGACCCCCAGGGTAGGGGAGAGCACCACCTCCCTTGGGAGCCCAGTCCAGATTTTGGCAACCCTTACCATAAAGCATTTATTCCTTATGTCCAATCTAAATTTATTCTCCTTCAGTTTGTGGCCATTATTTCTGGTAACCCCGAGGGGCGCCCTGGTACACAGTGTCCCTATTCCCTGCTGACCCCCCACGAGTTTGTAGGCAGCCACAAGAGCGCCCCTCAGCCTCCTCCTGCGGAGGCTGAAGAGATTCAGGTCCCTCAGTCTGTCTTCATAGGGTCTTGCCTGCAGGCCCTCAACCATAGAAGTAGCTTCCTCTGAACCCCGTCAAGGTTGTCCCCATTCAACCCCTGACTTCTGGGGGCGGGGGGGAGGGGGCTGCACAGCCCCAGGTTGGGACCCCCCCCAAGCAGAGCACGGGCATCGCTGCGCCTCGACCCTCGTGCCCAGTGCCCGTCCAGCCC